GCAAGAATAGTGGAAAATCATTACATGAGCTATGCAACAAAATGTAAACACAAGGAGAATTGTTTCAATTGGAACCTACTGAAATCTTCAAACACTTGTGATAGTACATACACTGCCTGGCCAAAAAAAAAAGTCACATACTCAAATATTTAATTGAACAGCCTTTAGCTTTGATTACGGCATGCATGCGCCATGGCATCGTTTCGACAAGCTTACGCAAGGTAGGTAGTGACTTTTTTTTTTTTTTTATTGGCCAGGCAATGTATAAGAACAAATTAGGAAAAGGAGATGTGCACATAGCATATGTATTGTAAACATGCAGTATTAGTAAAATATTTTTTATGGTGCATACAGCTGGAAATCCTGAAATAAACACATAACTGTAGAAACAATCTAAACCTTAAAGTGCACCTGTACTTAGGCAATGGACATCACATTATTTACAGGCAGTAAAAGAGCTTTATAATGTATGTAAACCCTAATAATTAACTTCTTTTTTTTTCCTTCCCTTTTGGCCTGATGAATATACTATTGGGAGTTTTTTTGTTGTATCTGTTTGATAAGCGTAAAAAGTACCTGTTGATTTTGCTGTACTTTCTGCCTGTGCATAGGGAGGGGTTATGGAGATGAGGAGGGGGAGCAGATAAGGGGAGATCTGTGTTCTTTGTAATCTTTGAGAATTGAAAGTACTAAAGCCTCAAACTTTGTGTCATAAAAATACTGGTATGGGGCAGTTGAGCAGCGGACAATAAATGCTTTTGAAGCAGAAGTTCAAAAACACATACAATTGAAATCTCTACTACTGTAGCCTCTCCGTTCTTTTGCTCCACTTCCCCGGACCTCTAGCTGGGAGCGCACACTCATCACTTCTTTGAAAGTCCCACCTGACCCCCCCTCAGGGCTACATGCCATGATGATGTGTGCACCACCACTCCTTGGGAATACATTCCAAGCTGCCACGCTCTATCATGCATGCGTACCTAGTCCAGGCTGCTGCAGCTGCATGTTATTAATATTAGGGATGCACCAATACCGATACTAGTATCAGTGTTGGTGCCGATGCAGAGTATTTGGGGAGTACTCCTACTCATCCAAATGCTCGAATACCGGAACTTTCGGTCAGAGGGAGATCTCCCTTTGACCGGCAGTGCCGAGGGAGCATGGAGCCGGCTTCCTTTCCAATCAGGAAGCCAGGCAAGGAATTATGACCCACCACCCGGCTTCCTGATTGCTCCTCTTGTTGCTAGGCAACTTGGCTTTATAACCAATCAGGAAGCCAGGCGGCACGTAATGACCTGCCTCCCGGCTTTTTGATTGGTCAAGAAGCCAGGCTGCCTAGCAACAAGTGAAGCCGGCTTCCTAGCCAATCAGGAAGCTTGGAGGCGGGTCATTACGTGCCGCCTGGCTTCCTGATTGCTAGGCAACCTGGATTCATGACCAATCAGAAAGCCAGACGGCACGTCATGACCCGCATCCCGGCTTCCTGATTGGTCAGGAAGCCAGACGGCACGTCATGACCCGCATCCCGGCTTCCTAGCCTATCGGCAAGCCGGACGGCACCTCATGACCCGCTGTCCGGCTTCCTGATTGGTCAGGAAACCAGGCAGCCTCTGCAAGCGAAGCCAGTGTTCTTTCGATAGAACATCGGCTTCCCATGCAAACATGAAGCCGGGCGGTGGGTCATGATAGGTACTTGGTATCGGGCAGTACCAAAAAAAAAAATACGTACTCGTACCGAAAAACCGATATCAGTGCATCCCTAATTAATATTATTATTATTAGGGATGCACTGATACTAGTATTGGTGCCGATATAGAGTATTTGGGCAAGTACTCGGACTTACCTCCGATACTGGAACTTCCAGGCAAAGGGAGATCTCCCTCTGACCAGCAGCACTGAGGGAGCATGGAGCTGGCTTCCTTTCCAATCAGGAAGCCGGGAGGCAAGTTATGACCCGCCTCTCGGCTTCTTGATTGACTAGGAAGCCGGCTTTACTTGTTGCTAGGCAGCCTAGCTTCCTAACCAATCGGTAAGCCAGGGGGCACGTTATGAACCACCTCCCGGCTTCCTGATTGGTCAGGAAGCCAGGCTACCTAGCAACAAGTGAAGCCGGCTTCCTAGCAAATCAGGAAGACAGGAAGCGAGTCATGACGTGCCGCCCGGCTTCCTGATTGGCTAGGAAGCCAATTGGGGCACAGGGCACTGGTATCGGTATTGTCGAGTACCGAAAATAAAATATCCGTACTCGATACCAAAAAACGGTATGGGTGCATTCCTACTTATTATTATTTTGCCTTCACATATGCACTTTAAAACAAGCCACCCCTGGCCTCTCTAGCTGGTTTTAATGTAAAGTTATTAATTCTCAAAGATCACAACAAACATTCTAAGGCCTCATTCACACTTGTTGCGTGAGTGAACGCATGCACCGTTTTTGTTTGCTTATCATGGTGTGTTTGCTGTGTGTCCGCATTAAAATGCATGGGCTGCCCTACACGTGACAAACATGGCAAAGAAGATAATGCAGCAGCCTGAGCTACAAATTTTGCACGTTTTTCAAAGCGTGTTGGTCGGATGTTTTCTTTTTCTTGCTTGCCGTGCCATTAACAATGATGGCACTGTAAGTGTGACATACGATTTTCACACGAGTTTGAGCAGGTTCTCACACACTGAAAGTGAATGGGACCTAAAATCTGGTTTAAACGGTTTCCAACAGTTTAGAAGTACTTGTTGTGTGTTTACATTAGAGGAATGGCAGCCTGCCAAGATCTGTTCTTCATAGAAAAAAAGCTGTCATTGCCTGTTTTGTGAACTTCATTATGATGATAGATATAGGGGTGAATGGGGGTTTTTTACTGCATGTTCAGAATATGTAATATTTTAGTTTGCATCATCTGGGAATAATTTATTTATATTGTATTACCAATATGGCATTTTATAAATCTAAATTATATGGTATATTATTAGATTATATAGATTAGCAATGATATATTACTGTATATTATATGGATAAGGTTGTTCCGGGGCTCTCCAAAATCCACCTTTTTAGAACATATCTTAAATGTAGTATTTTGCAGCTTGGCAGTCCTGAGATGTGGTGGCCGCAGCATTAGTTTCCTTTTTTCATGCTTTTTTTTTTTTCCACCTGGTGATTCTCAAACACAGACACTTCCTTTCTCTTTGTGGCTACACTCATTTCTCCATGTCTGCCTTGGTTAGGCTTTATTCTATGGTGGCTTTATGGAATTGGTAGGTTACAAAATAAAGATAAGATCATTTTTCTGTCTTTTCATCTCACAGGAAGAGACAAGGACATTGCATTTTTGCCCAAATCAGCAGGTATTTTCTACACTTGCTAAAAATGCTCTTAGCCTGAAAATGAATGCAGTCACCTCATCAAAGGATTGGTAAGCTGCAATATCTTCATTTCTGGTTTTGGGTTTAGATAAGCTTTATGTTGTATCTACCCAAAACTTGTTTTTTAGTTTTGGATAGAATGGGGACAGGTTGGAACCCCTGTCAGGTTTTACTGCTATCCAGGGCTCCATTGGAGAGATTTCCCCTTACTTCCTGTCCTTGGGACAACATTTTACCAGACAGGAAGTGAGGGAAAATGTGCAACAGGTGAACAGACCACAATAAAAAGCTGAAAGAGGTTCTAGCACCCCCTACTTAACCTAAAGTGATATAGGTGCACCATTTCATGGAAGTTGACCACCCCTGTGTTAAAAGAACACTTTGGCGGTAGCAAAAGCTAAAGTTTAACTGAGAAGCCCTTCTCTTCAAACAGATCTAACAATGCAGTCCCTATCTCCAACATCAGGCAGGTTTTGGCTGTTCTTTCTCAATGCACAAGTGACTTTCTTGAGGAGTTTGACTTTGCAAAGCTGTCTAATGATAAATAGGGTATGATTCTTCAGTGAACAAAGTAGTGGCAACAATAATGGAAGCAAAACCTATAGCCTTAGTCATGTTCCATTCATATAATCACTACCTCTGACCTTAAAGTAGATCAGCCCGAACCTACATGACTCAAGAGTTTTTGGATGCAAACCCTGAAGTGACATAAACAGTGTGAATGTATAAAATGTTATAATGGTATATACAGCATAGATACTTAGAAAGCAAAGTGGCAGAAGTGATGACAGTACAGATGGCATGGCCTTTTATGGTTGAAGTTATGCCATTGTCTGCCATCTAACAAAACCAATGACTAGTTATTTGGCCAAATAGGGGAATTAATTTTGTTAGCAATTCATATTCTTTTATTCCAGAAGAAAACTTGTTTTGTTGTCTGTTCAAAGCTGACCACTCAGCACAGTGCACCTAATGATATTGTGTCCCTTGTGTATGTACACAAGGAATGCATTCTTAGAAATAATGAGATATTGCCCTATAAGGAACAGACTGGGCACCATACACATTTGTAAAAAATAGGCTGAACAATATGGCTGCCATCCTCATTCTGCTGGCCATGCCCCCTCATCCCCAGCTCCGCAGAACTGATTTTCTTCTGCATTCACTCTGTGTGTATTAACGCTTACTGCATCCTAGAACATTAGGTCTAATATGAAAAATGACAGAGGTTAGAGAATTTGTTTTTTGTATTTTATTTATTAAAAGTAAAAAGTGGTATTAAATCCAAATTCCAATATGTGATACAGTATATTTCTAGAGATTAAAAGGAAGTGGTCTACCTAACTATAATTATATAAAATATTATGATATCCTATGATGGCAAAATGTAATGTCAGAAGGCCTGTTTCTGTTTGGCTGTTTCAGTTGACTATCAAGAACTGGAGGAGGGATACACATATAGGAATGAAAAAATAGCTGCATTCCATGCCCGAGAACCACTTTTCCATTGGCTGTTTTAGTAAATTGACTTCAGGTGGATCTGATACATTTTAACTTTTTAATGAGCATCTTCTTGTTTCTGAGTTAAGGAGCGGGGTAGTGTTCATTATCCAGAAGTTTACAGTCCTAGAAGAGAGAAATGAATGTGTACATTAACCTGTTCACATAAGATGCTGACTATATTACAGGTAAAGAATCTTACAATCCTCTTAGCGATGACCTCCCTTCTTTTGAGAAACGTTTTCTTCCTGCACAATCTCTGCTTCTCTCTGTATTAAATGAAGAACATTTTATTATTTATTGGATCTGATATTTTCAGACATCCATTCATTTTAGTTTCCATCAAGGGTATACCATGGGTGTACCTCAAGGAGTGCAAGGAGCCTGTACCAGTTATGCCCCATAGTGAATTTGTATTGCAGTTAGAATTTTCAGGCAACAGGTTAGACAGGCAAAGACTTCACTTCCAATTTTACACAGCAGTTCATTGGTGTCAAAGAAAAGTATTTGACTTGTGCATTAAAGGAGACGTATTAGGAGAGTAAAATGTAATATTCCCAATACGAAGAGCTGGCGTGTGACACTTCAGGTGTCACATGCCGGCTCTATAGAACAAGAGCTAAGGAATCACAAACTGCTGATCGCTCAGCTCATGGTCTTTTCCCTGCAGAGAGCAATGACTATCAGTCACCGCTCCCCACAGGGATTCCCCCCTCCCCTCTCTGTTCCTCCAGCGTTCATTAGAGGGACAGGCAGGAGAGGAGGCAGGCACAGGTGGTTCTGCCTCTAGATAATATTGATGGGATGCAGCGTGGCTCTGAACTGTCAGCAAAATGTGGGCAGTAGCCTGATATATGCTGACTTTGGGTCACAGGAGGACATTAGTAAATGTCCTCCTGTGATCCAAAAGAAGAATAAAGCCAGAAAAAGGTTTGGCTTTAGTTCTCTTTTAAATGCTGATGTTATTTACAAAGTGATTCGTTAAACAACATGAAACAAACTGCAGTAATGTATCAATTTTATGTATAGCCACTCTAATTTACAAGGCTTTCTAAAATTTGCTGATAGATTAGGAATAATAAGTATACTGAATCTATCTTTTGAAGTCAAAAAGCACCAACAATCACTGCCAAAATCTATGCACTGAATAAAAATATTTTTATGTAGAATTGAAGCGGGGCCAGTTAGATGCTTTTAATACCCTAGCTACATACATAACAAGTTTGTAATCTCTCAGAGTTAGAGAATGCATTAATTAAGCACTTTACCGTTGACCGACTGTCAACAACTTTCCAAAAAAAATTCCCTACTGTAGAAATGGAAAACTACAGGTACTGTAGGTAGCCAGCCCATTTAAAAAACTTTGAAATACATCTATTCTATATGCAAAAAAAAAAAAGATATTGACATAGAGCACCTCAGTCCCTTATTACTTTTTTGCAATTTTTTGTACGACTACCAATACTTTTTCTCAAGTATTCGCCAATACCAATACCTTCTTTTAGTGTCATGTGACAGTTTTTCTAAAACAATACAGATGATTTTAGGACAGTGGTGGAGCCTCTGATTCTAAGCTGTAGAGTGACTACAAATATCAGCAATGCAGAAAACAATCAGCTATAGGGGACTACAAATCCCAGCAATACATTATACCAGGACTTGACAAATTTTCTTTGAATACCGGAGCCATCTGAAAAAGTTAGGAGCTAGAATTTTTTCATGGGGACGTTTTGCGTTCATGGGGAACTTTAAATTAGTTTTTGTTATTTTTAATTTTGATTTATTTAACTTAATTGTTTTCTTTTTTACTCTTTGTAGATGACCGGTCTGCTAGACTCCTAGTGTGACCTTTCCACTTCAACAGCTGTAGCTGAGGAATGACAGTTGCCTGCTGAGGCAACTGAATGTAAACACAGTAGGCAGTGGCTGGGAGCAATAGCCAGCCTGCTGTTGGCTATTTCACGGGGAATGCAGAGTCACAGCGGTTTCTCGCCGGTTGCCAGCTGCAGCCGTCTTTGTTGGAGGAGACACAGACCACAGCAGCGGCAAGAATTGAGCTTTCCAGCGCTCCTCACTTAGTAGTGACACGTGCAATACCTCCAAGCCTAGGCACCAAGACACAATTTCTAGTCGCATAGGCAACCTGGCGCCTGGGATTTGTCGTGCCCTGCATTATACAGCAATGCAGAATGGCACCAGTTATGAAGGACTACAAAACCCAGCAATACAGTATAATACTATCAGCTATAGAGGACTACAAATCCCAGCAGTACAGTATACAGCAATGTAGAATAATGCACAGGACAGAAGCAGCAGGCAATATTTCTAAAGTAGTTGTGGAGTCCAGGTGCAGTGTTGCTGCATTATACCTGTGTCTGATGTCTTGGGCAGAGGGTCTCAGGAGGGGGAGATGTACAGGCTGGCAGAATTGCTGTAAACAGGTGCCACATAGTTCCCAAGAAGGCTGCCACGAGGTCCCCAGCAAGCGCGGGACCTAAGGCAGCCGCTTTAATTTGAATAATTAAAGCGCCGGTATTGGTTTTTAGCATCAGAGCATGCGCAAAAGTATTAGTACTCGTGCAAATGCTCAGCATTGGCACCGTTAGTGATACTGGTATTGGTATCGGAGCATCCTTATTTTGAATTATATATCAGACTCACTCTTGAATGTAGCATAAATGCAACTTGTATACGGTTTATATATAGTTGGACATTGATAAAATATTTATTTATTTTTAGCTTTTTTCAAAGAAATGATGGAACTGAATATTATATAATGAATGTGGAATGAATGTGCAGACTGTCTGCTTTAACGTGAGGGTATTTTCAACCCAAATGGGTGAATGGTTTAGTTTTTACAGCACTTTTGTCCCCTCCTTTTCAAGAATTGTCAGTCAATAGTCCAAGAAAAGAAAGTGGACAATTGACTGACAAGCTGTTCCATCGCCTGTTGTGGCTAGCATACTCATTATTTAATTAACAGTTAATTAGGCAAATATGTCCATAGCCATTTCAAGTAAAGTAGACCATCTTCAAAAGTGTATGTAGACACCATGGGTGCTTACACTGAGGAAGGACCTTGTGTAATGCAAAGGGCCAAAGCATCAGTGATCAGTGCCTAAAAGCATGCATTATCAATACTGCATTCTATTACAGTTTGATCCTGATGTACCTGATCTACCGGGACTTCCACATGTGTATATGAATCTTCCTTTACTTCTTGGGCTCCATAAAGCTCACGTCGTACTTCCTTTACTTTAAATACCCCTCCTTCATCTGAAAAAAAAAACATAAAGTAAGACATACACACAACAACCTCAAGCTATTCCCCAATAGTGTATAGATTATTCCAGGGAAACTACTCACCCCCAGTTTCATTGTTGTTGTGTCTGTCTTTCTTGGTTGGACGTACCCGCACTGGTTTCGCATAAAAGACAGATTCCTCCTCTTTTTTGGGGTATTTGATACTGGAAGAATTTGGTACTGTACCAGTGGAATGGACTCTTCGCCCATCTCCCTAAATAATGATAAAATGATAATCACTGTAGCTTTCTGTGGATGAAGGGGGAAAAGGGGTTAGTCTAGTGCACATACCTGGACTTGAGCGCCATTAAGGCCAGAGTCACTAACTCCATCATGTGACACACTATAGTTCTTGACAGTCTAAAATAGTAAGATGATCAATAGGTAAATAGGTTCCTTCTTTAATCACTTTAAGAACCACAAATTCCAACTACTGGTCATTGCATATAATGGTAATAGTGTGCTATTTCTGACATTTTAAAATGACCATTGGTGATGGAGAATTCAAGGTCACCGTACTGATCCCTAGCCTAGTTAAATAGGCTGTAAATATAACACCAAACACTTTCCAATGCAAAGTAGTAGTAGTGTCCTTTTTATGCTCAGAATAAGCAAAATGCTACAAAATATGTGTGGTGAAAATGATTCTCGTGCCTTAATGAAAACTTGTAATGAGAGAAATATGACATTACTGACCTATGTTTCTCAAAATGCTATTTTCTCACCAACATAGCATTAAAGAGATAAGGAATTATGACTAGGAAGGAGGCAAACATACAGTACTGAATGTTAATGTTAATATAATGCAAATGTTAATCTGAACCCTATTAAAGAGAATGGTAACCAAATCTTTAAAATCAATTCTGGCTATTTTCAAGGCTAATAGGCAAGCGAATGTCACACAAAGGGCATAGAGAACTGAGCAATGTGTGCAGGGCAACATTAAAAAAAGCACAGTTTCTTTAATTAACATGCTTGGGGGATACCCTAAACTTTCCTGTCAACTGGTGCATGAAAGTGACCTGTACGATATATATACAATGTACTAAAGCAAAACTAACATTTAGAAAGAAAAAACATTTAATTTATATTGCCTTTATCGGCATTTTAAAAAGTATCCTTGTTTTCTTTGTAAATGTCAGTTTGATTTGGTACATTGTACATTACATTTTCTAGTTGCTTTACAAAGTGGTCAGGATTCCATTACCTTGTATCAGATATTTATGATTAGACCAAGATTCCGTTCTCAAATACCATAACCTCCATGCAAAACAAAAAGTAAATGGACGCGGGGTACCCGTTCCCCAAATCCGTACCAGGCCCTTTGGGTCCAGTATGGATTTTAAGGACTAAGTCACATAAAAAAATGGCTCAGGAAAGGAATGGGGGGCAACGAGCAAACCATACCAGGCCACATGCCCTTAAGAAAGGGAGGATGCCTTACCAGGGGGGGACCTCGCTGGCAAAGCCTCTTTTCCCATGTTAACTAGCACAAGGGCCCCATCCCCAGGAGGATGTAGGGATATCCAAGCTGGTGGCTTATTGGAATCTGGAAGCCCCGTTTAAAATAAGGGGACCCTAAGATATCCAGACCCTCCCCATATGTGAATACGTAAGAATTGCATAGTACCCCTACTCAATCACATAAAGATGCAGATTTTCATCAAACATGATGAATGATGCCTGTTAAACGCTGATCAGCCAAACATCCACATGCGGTGACTGCTTGCTGCATATCACAGCTCCCCGGACTGGCAGCTGTGATGTAAACGAAGGTGTGGGGTTGCTGATGATGTAATTGACCATATTGGCCATTGGCCATATTTATCCAATAATGTCATCAGCATCCTGCTCCTTTTTTTTTTCTTTCTACATTTAGCTATGAGCCAGGGAATCTCACGAATGACAGCTGAATGGACCAGACAGGGACGTGTCACTGGTTGCTAGGATGCCAGTGGCTGCTGACTTCCTAGCAACCAGAGAGAAGGGAGAACATGTCACACCACTGGTAAATGAAGCACTGGGCTGTTGGTCAGCATGGCGGTGAACACACCATTTAGTTCTCCTGTTGACTCAAATTATGACACTGTTCTGACACTCATGTGCTGCATGCATGTTCTCATTTAGGAATACTGAAGCAAGACACAGCCAGGAATACAACATCGTTAGAAGGATATTTCTCTCATGACAGGTGTACTTTAGGCACCAAACATATCTAACCTTTGCCAATGCCAGGTTATGTAAACCAAAGCAGATGAAGCCAGACAAATTCAGTTTATGTGAGAGAAGGGTGCTTGTTACTCTGCAAAGCATTACAATACATTTCAGTCTCAATGGCACATCAGAGTACTGTTAAGAAAGAACTCCAGGATTTTATAAAATGAACCCTTGCAGTGGGGCAACCCCGTATTGCAAGGGCTAAGTGCTCATTGTGTCTAGGTGCTAAAATAACAGAGATATACTCACCGAAAACTCAGAGCCAGCCAGCTGTCACAGCACTCCCTCCAGCCTGCCCCTTCCTCTGCAGCACACTGGAATGTTCCTCAGCATCCTCACGTCTATGCACAGTGTATAGATGTGATGATTTACTGGACCTTAGACCATTGCAGAGAAGAGACATTCTAGGCATCGGTCTAAGGAGAAGCCAGCTTTGAGCATTGGGTGGGTATAGTTTTTTTTTTTAAAGACACAAACGAGCAGTTAACCCTTGCAGTGCGAGGGTAGCCCCACTGCAAGAGTTAATAATAAAAAAAATCTGGAGTTCTTTTTTAAAAAAGCCACACGTCCGTCCCCTCTTATAAGGAACTTTTTGCTTACCACAACTTTAGGAATTCTGCGTTTAACACCAACACGACTTCTAAAGAAGAAATATATATGATATAAAGAAAACAAGAACATTTAAATGAGATAAAACACAAACAAAACAATGTAGTAATAGCACCAATTAAATTTTTTTTATAATTAATGGCGTACTTGTTTCCTCCGGGTGGTGTTAGAAGTTCCTCATAGGGAAGGCATTTAAACCTCTCTGATCCAACGGCAACATAATATTCACCAGATACCAGCTCAGCTCCAAATGAAATAGAGACTCCATCTAGCGTGCAGATCCTGGAGGAGAGAAAACCTTCACTAAGCCATATTTGGACATAACAGTAAAACACAGGACCAGCAGAGAACACATTACTATTAGAGGATAAGTGTTCTGAAACTTAAAACGGGAATGTGCTATTGGAGGCTCAGGTGAGTATAACTTTTTTAAATTACATTCCAGACGCAAATGAGCAATTAACCCTTCCAGTGCGGGATTAGCACAATTGCAAGAATTGAGATTATTTCTGTCCTGTCTTTAAGTGCATATAGATTTTAGTACAGTTTATTATCATTTGGAGAGTGGCTGGCATAGCACAATCTGCCAGTATGTACTTGGAAAATATAAGAAATGTAAGGAAATACACTTTTCTGTGTCTTATTTACATTTCTTTTTATTTTATTTTTTTGCCAGACTCCAAAATATATATTTGTAGGAAACCGCTACTGTAACGTTCAGAAATTCCTTTGCTCCGCTGTTTGGTTTAGTGAATTATGGCCCTAACATCTGCATGAAATGTTGAGCTTCCCATTCACATACCTCTTGTAGCAGTGATGTATGGGTTAAGAGATTTGTGGGCATACTGTTAAATTGTTTGAATACTGTATCATTTTCTCTCCCAGTGTTTAGTGTCCCTCTGCATTGTACTGCCCAGCATTCTCTATGGCTGGACATATTTATTTATGGCATTATGTATCACAGCAAAAAGATTTACTTTTCCTGTTCTGGTTTTTCAACATATATTTGTGTGCTTATACAACTCCAGTGTTCATGACAATCCTCGCAATGAATTCCTTGTGGGAAGTGACTTAGGATTCTGATTTAATGATTGATCTCCTATAGAAGCTCTTTAGCTAAATGGACACAGTTCTTCTTTGCACATTCAGATTGTATTTACCTTCTTACAGCTCCTCTGTACAGGTTGGCCTTTTCAGTGAGTAGGGTTAAAACCAGCTCCCATTCTTTCAGAATACTTGGTGGTATAAGAACACGAATGGGAGGCGTCAGAAGATCACCATTACGGAATACACTGCCAAAAGAATCAATTATTATATAACCACTGAAGCATATATGAATGAAAAGAGGTAGGTAATCTCGCACGCCAGCTGTAGTGAAACTACAAATCTCATTGTGCCTCTGCCTCTGGGAGTCATGCCTGTGGCTGTTAGAGTCTTGAACTTGTAGTTCCACAACAGCTGGAATGCTGAGGTTGCCTACCCCTGAAATAGAGAATGCGAAGGTTACTGTTTTTGTCACGCTAAATTCTCAAATGTCCTTACTATTTGGAGACTTAGAGTGAATACCATACAGAACCTTGCATAATAATGTGTACCCTTGACCATTTCTCTTCTTTTCCTGGAATAACAGATCCTTTACTTAAACCACTTGTAAACCCTGAGGCTGCTAATAAATAACTATGCTTTATACATTTCCTTAAACCTCTCTATAGAAACATTTAGCCCAAAATGCCTGCAAATATCTTTTTTTGTGACGGTTTATCAGCAGTCACGTGACCACTATCTGATGTCCTTATCTGCAATTACCAAGGTTTGGGGGTGGGGCTTCAAAATGGCGCTCAGCTTCTTCCCCCCAACTGGAAACAATGTCAGTCATAGGCTAAAGTGATATTAAAGTCAAAAGGTTTTTAAGCTATTTCAAATGCTGATTAAATTGCTTACAATGGATGCTGCTCCTGGATGATTACCAGTTTTAGGTTCCTGCAGAATCAGCTGGTCCCCGAGCACTGGTCCTGATATCCTGTTTTAGGGTGGCTCCTTTACCTTGCAGGGTCCCATGGAGCCACCCTTGTATGCGCTAGTAAGCTGTGTGTACATCCAGAAACACACAGGGACAGCAAGGCAAGTCACTCCCCTGCTCCTCAATCCTTCTTACTCCCTCCTTCCATTTCTAAGTTAGACAAAGTATGGCTGCTGGAGACTGATCAGTCCCTTATAATCTTGTACTGGACAGGAAGTTCAAGGAACCAGCTGAGAGAGTTGGAGTCAGCTGTTCAGAAACATGATGACTGTAAGCGTTTGGGCAAAAAGTTAAAGAAATGCTTTGCTGGACAATTGACTGTATCTAAGTGATCCATTTTTTCTGTTATAAACTATGAACAGTGTAGGAAGAGAGATGCAGGGAGTGCAGTGGTGAGCAGCATTAAAAAAGGGTTGCAGGGCTGTACAGAGGTGCGCAGTGTAGAAAGAGGGTGGCAGAGGATGGAGAGCGGTGCAGTGTAGGGGGAGGGATGCAGGGGGTGGATGTTGGAAATACAGCAGCATATGCTAATATGTACGGAATGTATTACTGACATTCTGATGCATACTGATAATTTGTCTTTTGAGCTGTAGATGGCGCTGTAGTGCAATGTTAGTTTTATATATACATGTCTATCTATGATACGCAGGACGTTCTTTTATATCTATATGTTTTCCTCACAATGCAGTATTCAGATGTAATATTCTTCTAAGCAAGTAAAACCTAATTCAGCATTGCTCAAGATCTCAGCGCTTCACCTAACACATAACCAACAGGTAATGGGCCCAGGCACCAAACAGAACACTGCAAGTCAACAAGAGCCACATCTACTCTAAGCTAGTAAAAGATGGCAAGCTGCTCAGATATGAAGTTTGCAATTGCAAAGCTCAACAATTCCAACTACCAACTATGGAAGTTCAAGCATGAAATGGTGCTAAGCAAAGACGACTTGTGGCAAGTACTGAGTCTGATGATAATGAGGTTTGAGTCTATTAATAATAAATATTGCATTCTCTTGTCCCCCTGTTCAAAGCAAATGCAGGCCTTCGTTTAGTCACTCCCTATTCCAAAAAACAGAGATCTGCTACTCTGCTAATCTTGCCTGTGATTTTTATTGCCCCAGTACCACTTAACAAGTGAGAGTCCCAAATCACCCTCTAAACCTTTTTATGGCTGCCCCTAATTAAAGGCATGCAAGCAGGCACTCATCTATTACCATTTGACAAGCTGATATAAACACAAGCAGGTCTGGTAGAGTTAATGACCCAGGTGACCCAGCATTCACCCAAAAGTCATAAAACTGAGTTGCAATATCAGCTCAATGTCATAATTTGGAATTGGACAGAGATATTGTAAAATTAAGAGTACAAATAGCTGTGTCTCACCACAACGAGAACATAGATACCAAGAATAAATCGTTTAGAATGAGCCACGACTGGAGAGGCGACATTTACCTTCCTGCCCCCCCCCCCCCCTTTCATTCATATCTCTGGTAGTTTCACTCTAAAGATAACGTCATGACGCATCATAATTTGTTAGACCATATGGAATACCAATACTCCACTATCATCTTAGTTATGAATTCAACTGTTTGGGAGGAGCAGAGAAGGAAGTGGTAAAGGCTCGTCCCTCCTGCTCTCTCTCCCCAGTCCTGCCCTAGGTGGCGGCTACGTGACACACCCTAGAGGGCTGGCAAAAAGTTGCTGGCAAGGCAACTAGAGAGGCTTGTTTTGTAACATCAAGAAAAGGAACTCCAGCAACATCAACAAGTCTTAAAATCACAGAAGAGTTCCCCTTTAATATGTGGACATCATCTGTGCAAGCTTGCTTGATGGAGAGCCCTTCAGACCTCTCTTTTGTTTATTGAACTTTGGACTCTGTCAGAACTCATAAAGCCAGGACTGTAAGCATTCTCTTTTTATTCCCTTTTGTTTTACTGTTGTATATATATTTTGTCTCTCTTTATTACTGCTTGCTAGCAGTAGATATAGGCAAAAAAACGTAAATACGCGTCCGGTGCCCCAGCGCGCAAAAATTACAATTGCGCTACACATGTTACATATCGCCGCGAACGTCGCAGTGAGAGCAATCATTTTAGGGCCATCAATCACTGATAACACTAAACTGATGAGCGGTAACAGCTTTTAAAGCGTCGCCTAGGGCCAATTTTGGGTATTATCGTTTTTTGAGGTTTCGCGCGCACGCAATTTTAAGGCTTGACATGTTTAGTGTCTTTTTACCCGACGTGACCCCATCTTTTATATTTTACCAAAAAATTGGGTAATAATAAATGTTTTATCATTTAATATAGGGGAAACTGTTTTTTTTTTTAAATTTCGGTAATTTTTCCTTAATATAGTAAAAAAATAAAACCCCCAGTGGTGAATAAATACCACCAAAATAAAGCTCTATCTGTCCCCAAAAAAGGGTATAAAATTCATTTCAGTACAGCGCTGCATGACGGAATAAATGTCAGTTAAAGTACCGCAGCGCTGAATACTGAAAAATGGCCTGGATGGGAAGGGGGTTTAACACCGCGGATGTCAACTGGTTAAAGTATGTGGTGGCAGTGAACGTTTGGTGTGTAAAGGGTTAACTGCAGAGTTAACCAACCCTAGTGATGATTGCTCTTAGTTTGCTGGCCTGAGATTGTTATCCTGCAAGCTGGGAAATCTCTGTGCAGGGTGAGACTGAAAGTGGTATTGTCAAATCCTTGTGAAGCCACGCTTGGTTCAGAACTGCATATACAGTGACGTGTGATTCACATACAGCAGGTTTGGGCCGGGCGTACGTCACACTGAGTACAGACAGATCCACTCATGGATCCATGGAGGAATGGGACAAAAAGAACAGGCAAGCAAAAGCAATTATACGTCTGCTAGTGGAAGACGACCAGCTCATCCACATAAGAAAAGAGAATGCAGCTAAAGGTATATGGACTGCATTACAAAAACTGCATGAGCGTTCAAACCTAAACAGTAAACTATATCTGCTACCCAAGCGATATAAGATGAGGCTAGAAAAAGGCCAGGAAATGTATGAACAATGCCATGCTGGAAATCATAAAACAACTACGTGCAATTGGAGAGGAAATGAAAGATAACCACGTGGTGGCATTACTGCTATGCAGTCTTCCAGAGTCATACAGTGCTCATATAAACCAGACCTGAGCAGGAACTAACACTAGAATACACCAAAGGAAAATTAGGAAAATAATCAATAATATGACAGAAGGAAAGAAAATACGCACAATGAAGAAAACGAGAAGGCCCTCAAGGTGCATGAGAGCGCAAAGCAAAACAAAGAAAGCAAAGCGTGTTTTCGCTGTAAAAAGACTGGTCACCTGGAAAAGGTCTGTTCAATCTGGAAAGCTGAGCAGCGAAAACATGAGGCACCTACAAGAGCAAGACATAAGGCAGCTATAAAGGAAAACTGCAGGCACATCATGGAGCGCTACCTTTAAAGTGACTGAGAACAGTATACCATGCGGATGGTGTATTGACTGCTGAGACGCAACAAGTCACATGACTAGTGATGAGACATTCTTCACAGAAATTGATTTCTGTGCAAAGGACAAAGTGTTCCTAGCAAACGGGAAAAGTATTACTGCAGAAGGTAACGGTCAAGGATTCTTGAAGTGCATCACACCGTCAGTGGACAAGCAGAGTAGCATTGTGAAAAATGTTCTGTATGTTCCTGACCTAGAAGGATACCTTCTATCAGTGAAAACCCTTGCTAATAACGGTCTCACAGTTCAATTCCGAGGTGATGAATGTACAATCCAAAACAATAAGCAAATCCTTGCAAAAGGAAAATTGGATGAACATCTGTACAGACTCATCACCGCAGACAAACAGACTCATAATCCACACAACATATGTATCCATCTTTGGCACAGACGACTAGGGCACCAAAACCTAGAAGCCATAAAAGACATAAAGAGAGGCAAGTTATTATCGACATACAATATTGCTCATCAGAAGAAATTACTTCAGATGCTGTCACCAAGCTTTTGCCAAAGGATCGTCACAGTTTCCTTCAAGAGAAGCAAAAAATCATTTAGCAATGCATATGCTGTTGAGAAGGGGTACTGGAAATACAGCAGCATATGCTGATATGTACTGATTGTATTACTGACATTCTAATGTACTGATATAATGTCTTTTGAGCTGTAGATGGCGCTGTAGTGCAATGTTAGTCTCTCTATATGCATGCTTATCTATGATACACAGGAAGTTTACCAAATATATGTTTCCTGCATAGTGCTGTATTTACATGCAATGTCCTTCTAAGCAAGTAAAACTTAATTCAGCATTCTTCAAGATCTCAGTGCTTCATCTAAACACATAACCAAGAGTGCAGAGGGGAGCAGTGTAGCAAGAGGGTTGCAGGGGCTGGAGAATAGAGCAGTGTAGGAGGAAGGATGCAGGGGGTACAGAGGTGAGCAGTGTAGGAAGAGGGTTGCAGGGGCTGGAGAATAGAGCCGTGTAAGAGGAAGGATGCAGGGGGTACAGAGGTGAGCAGTGTAGGAACAGGGATGCAGGGGCTGGAGAATAGAGCCGTGTAGGAGGAAGGATGCAGGGGGTACAGAGGTGAGCAGTGTAGGAAGAGGGTTGCAGGGGCTGGAGAATAGAGCCGTGTAAGAGGAAGGATGCAGGAGGTACAGAGGTGAGCAGTGTAGGAAGAGGGTTGCAGGGGCTGGAGAATAGAGCCGTGTAAGAGGAAGGATGCAGGGGGTACAGAGGTGAGCAGTGTAGGAAGAGGGTTGCAGGGGCTGGAGAATAGAGCCGTGTAAGAGGAAGGATGCAGGGGGTACAGAGGTGAGCAGTGTAGGAACAGGGTTGCAGGGGCTGGAGAATAGAGCCGTGTAGGAGGAAGGATGCAGGGGGTACAGAGGTGAGCAGTGTAGGAAGAGGCTTGCAGGGGGTACAGAGGTGAGCAGTGTAGGAAGAGGCTTGCAGGGGGTGCAGAGGTGAGCAGCTTCAGAAGAAGATTGCAGAGGGTGCAGACGAAAGCAGTGTTGGAAAAAGCGGGCAGAGGTGAACCCTGGTGCTTGGGGTGTGCGCATGTGGTGTTTTGGAAGCTGGGTGTCAGACTTTTGGGAGGCACCAGTGTCCCCTCTCCACCTGCAGTAGTGAATCGGTCACACTAAATTCAGGAGTAGCGCAGAGAGCGAGGAAGTCAGCGGCAGCATAAATGAGTGGAGGAGATCTGCACTGAAGGACACACACCTAGCACTGCATAGGCTGGACAGATGTGTGACTTGCCTAGTGGCTGCTATATATGTCTATCAATCTACCTTGTAATGATAACATGACTACAAGCTAGATCAACAGACATCCTTAGCAGGCACTAGAAAGCAGGCACTAGGTGAAAAAGATGTATGCTCATACAATAAATGCATGGAAACACATGTTTTGCATTTCCATATGTTTATTATAGAAATATAACGTTTGGGAATACAAAACTTGTATTTCCATACTTGTATTGCATTTTGAATGGGCTGTCTTAAAGTGGGAGGTAGTTGTTTTTTTTTTTTTTGGTTTTTTTTTATAGCAAAAGAGAATGTGTAAGTCTTTTTTGCCAAAAAAGATCATACCTGCCTGTCAGCAATCTTTTTTGTTTCTGTGCACTGAAATACACATGCCAAGATGAAGTAATTCCCGTGAGTTACATCATGCCGACCGGCCAATCAAGAGGCCAAAGACACTGAACCCGGAAGAAGCCCAGGAGAAGATGGCAGCACCAGATGGAAGAGCGGAAAGTGCAACATTAAAGGGGATTATTTTCGTAATCTCGGAGCCGGCTGGCTGCTACTCCAGTTGCTGCAGCCTCTCTCTCCCTCCGCTGCAGCAATGCAATGTCCCTTGGCGTCCTCACATCCTATGCGCTGTATTGGATGTGATGAATCACAGGACTTTAGACCGCCGGAGTGGGGGGGGGTGAGGCTCCATGGACCAGTCTATTAGCCAGACGGCTACAAGGTTCAACCACAAGGGTTAAAAATATTTTTGACCGGAGTTCTTCTTTAAACTTTCTTTTTATTTTGGGTGAAAATGTATTTACCAAGCACTAACAGCTGTCAAAGCACAATGGGGTGGGGGGATTAAAAACTGGAGCAGCTGTGCATGGCAACCAGTCAGCTTCTCTCTTTCATTTTCAAATCTTAACTGAACAAACTGAAGAAAGAAGCTGATTGGTTGCTATGAGCAGCTGCTCCAGTTTTGATGAATTCCCCCCAATAGGTCTGTACTAACATGGTTTTACCTTGCTGCAATCCCTAGTTAGCATCGCAATTAAGATGGATCGAGCTGCTAAAATTTGTGTGGGTGTTTTCTTTCTGTAATGGTACTAATAGTGCTTACATTGAAACTATCAGGTCTATTCACAAAAGGGTGAAGAGTTTGGAGAAGGCAGGAGAAGTGACACATCTAGGACAACATAGCTGATTCGGAAACATTCTCCAATTCAGCTCACTTTCCAGTTCAGCTATGTTGTCCCAGATTGTTGCCTTCTCCTGCCTTCTCCAGACTCTTCACCCTGTTGTGAATAACCCTGCATGTATATTTGGAGTGGTTTTTATTTCTATGTACCACCAATTTCTTCATGTTAAATTAATACACACCATTCCTATATTAAGTATACAGTGGGTTAGGTTTCACTTCATATCTCTACACATCTGTCATGTTTTCTATGAATGAACAGATTAACAGTCATTTCTTGAAGCGTTGCCAAACCAGTTTAAGCAGACAGTATGAGGAAATACTCACTGAATGATACAGGGAAGGTGAGATTCCTCCCTCCAGCGACCTGTGACTTTTGGCTTGTGGGAGATCTGGAAAAAACAACATTAGGGTGGAAAATGATCTCTGCCAACATTAATTATATTGTCCTATTCGTGGTAAATGCCCTTCCTACATGCTGAAGCCGTTTACCTTTGAACACGGAGAGATCAGTTCAACACCCTTCCTGCTGACCTAATTCACACACCTCTCCTCCCTTCTCATTACACAGTAGATGAGAGAACTAAACTTGTGCTAAGAAATACTTTAGTATCTAAAGGAAGGCAGGTTCACCTATTGGCTCTGCCTTCTCTATTAAAGAGGACCTATCACACAATCCCAACAAAGAAATCAGTAATGGAGATCATTCTGATTTTTCAAGTATTGATACTTTATATTAATTAATAGATAACCTGACAAATTTTAACTTTAACATTATCTTCCTGCTCTGTGCACCGACTATCATGGCAAGAGAAATCACACTAAATTGTGCGCGGCTATTTGGGATCCAGCAGCGGTGTGTGGTGCATTCTGGAACATTTCTGCTGTGAGTATCCCCCCTCCCCATAACATAGTTTTATTACCTGCATCAGCTGGAGTTACGCTTCAGTTTGTTAAAGGGTTGTTAAACCCTCCGTTTTGTTTTGCATATATCAATGGCTAGCAAGCAGTAGATGTATGCAAAAAATATTTAAAAAACCAAAAACCTTTGAAACAGGTTTAAACTTACCTGTGTCTTCACCGCGCGCTCCCGTCCGAAAATCTGAAAAACCTCAGGCGGCCGCAAAGGATCTTGCGGCGGGCTCATGCGCAGTTCAGATTTTCAGCCGGGAGACAAGGAGAGACACAAGGTAAGTCTATGGACGTGTGCACCCGCATGCATACACCGTGGGACAGGAAGTGCCAGCAAGGACAGAGGAGTCAACGCTGGATCAGATGGTGACAATGCTGCTCCCCAAGGGTGGCTCCATTGCTCTTCCATGGATAGAGTGGAGGTGTGAGCATAGACACCAAGACAGGAAGTGAGTTACTGTCCAGGTAACCAGGTGAAAATAATGGGGAAAAAAGCCTAAAAAAGGAAAACTAATGCAGCCAACACATCTAAGGACTGGTAGGCTGGAATATATTACATTTTTGATTTTAGGTTTAGATACACTTTAATGTATTTTGTTATTCACACACTTTAAAATATTTATATGAGCATAGTGTATATTGAGGATCATGATGTACACATAAAAAGTCACTAAGGCATGGTAAATATGGGCTTTAGCTTGTATAAAGCCTGTATTGTGTAGGGCAAGTATTTACAAAATGTTAAGAAAGCTTCAAGCAGCTTTGCTGAAGCCTTTTAAAGAAGAACTCTGGAAAAATTTTTTTTACTAACCCTTGCAGTGGGGCTACACCAAAAAAAGTTATACTCACCCTGACCTCTGAAGCCTCTCTCCTCCTATGTTGCAGCATTATAATCGTCCTCAGTGCCCTCACGTCTATACACAGTGTATAGAACATGATGATGTATGGGACCTTAGACCACTGCAGAGGAGGGGGAGAGAGGCTGGAAGGAGCGGTCTAAGAGCAAACTGGATCCAAAGTTCAGGTGAGTATAACTTTTTTTTTTAGCAGCTAGACAAAAACGAGCAGTTAACCCTTGCAGTGCAGGTGTAGCCCCACTGCAAGGGTTAATTAAAGTTTTGCTCGGAGTTCTTCTTTAAACAATCTTTAGCTTCATTTTGGGGAGGGGAGTGTTGTCTCTCACTAATCCAGCTGCTAGAAGGTTTCATTAGGCTTTAGTAAGCTTTAGCGCAGCTTGAAGCTTGTTTAGAACCTGCTGAAGGCTAATAACAGCTTTGCCTAACTATGTTTTCTATCCGGATACTGGAACTAAAGTTTGCTATAAAAGGTTCAACACACTTTATAAATACTTGCCGTACACTATTTATTTTCATACTGGTGCACATATGTATAAGGCCTAAGGGTTTTTTGTTTATTATAAAGCAGCCAATGATCCTTCACCTGTTGAGTTGTTCACTGTCATTAACAGAGTCCTAAAGCTAGTTCAGCACCCTCTGCTTTCAAATTGCATTTACTGTCATTTGCGAAAGGGAAATTCAGGTCTTAGTAGCTTTATAAATGCAGTGGTTGTTACAGCCACCCAAGCCAATCTTTTTAGGATGGGCACCTCTTTGAAATGGCAAAATGTTGATTGTACCAATGCTATACCTATTGATTGGGTATGGTCACATTTTCTCACATGCACTATAAAGACCTTAGATGCACTGCAGAATCTTCATCTGCATGTGCCCTCTTGTCCCAGCATATATTTGTACTACACAAATATGTATCTTCAGGGCAAGTGCCTAGTGAATGCAGTCAAATCTCGACAGCTTCAGCTTCAAATTAGAAACATGCCTCTAAAGCTGCCCATACACCTATTGATTATCTGCAAATTTTCTGTGGTCAGATGGAAAATATGCAACAGATTCTTCCATCTACGCTAAACTGTGTGGATGGAGGAATCTCCCGCTTGGCCAAGCTTTGGTATCTTGCTAGTCGGCCTCGCTGGCTCTCAAAATACCTGAACAATCTGATTGGATGCAGGCACTGTTCAGGTATTTTGAGCATGTTATATGCTATGTCTTCTCGTATACAAAAAAGAGATTGCGACCCCAAGCTAATGGCAAACTAGGTTTTGGGACATGGAGCATGACAAATAGATCTATAGAACTAAAACATAAAAAAGACCAAGCACTATTCATCTACAACACAATCACCACGGCAGATTTCATCTCCTGTCATGCTACAGATTAGGATCTTATGGGCAAGCTTTTCACTCCTAATGTTTCACGTATTTGTTCATGGCTTAATGTTAATAATATACTTCCTGTGTGTCTTTACTTTGTATAGCAGTATAGAAAGAATTCCGGGACACATCAATAACACAAAAAGAATACATTTTTTGAACTTACTTGTTGAATGTCTTTGGCTTTATTGGTCGCAGGTGGCTTAACCTCAGTGTGAAGGTAGCTGTGATGATACATTAATAATTGAGTTTAGATATATAACAAGCTCTTCTCTGTAGAATAGAAAGCCTCCTCCTGACTACCACAAAGTGAAAGAAAAATATAAAGCAATCCTTGTGTAATACTAAAGTTAAAAGGGCAACTGAAACCAAACTTTCTTTTTTTTGTTAGTTTCGGATAGAGCGGAGAAGGATTGGAAAAGCTTTCTTATAGCTGTCTGCATCCCCATTAGGGAGATTCGCCCTCTCTATTTGTATTGGTCACCGTTATCACTGAAAGTGAAATAAAGTCCCACATTTTGGGTTGTGATCAGAACAGAAATAGATAGGAAATCTTCCAATAGGTCACTAGTTCTGGTGATCCTGCTGACTATCAGGGATTTCCCTTGCTTTGGAAAGATTTCCTCTTACTTTCTATTGTGGCTTTTGGACAGGAAGTGGAGGGAAATCTCCTGAATGGGAGACAGAAAAGCTGGCAGGGGTTATTATAACCCTCCCTTACTCTATACAAAACTAACAAAAAAAAAGCTTCTTTAAATAATGTATCCCTCACATGTTGCAAAGTGTCATACCACATGGATAAAACACAAAATGGTTCTCCAAATTGTCATGAGGAATTGGCCATACAAAGCAAATACACCCCATAATCCATACTATACTTGTGCTTCTAAAGATAAATACCAGTTTCTGTTTATCTAAGGGCAACATGTACATCTGTCTGAGCATACAAAAGATAGAGGCTGAACAAAAGCATAGAACAAAAAATGAGGGAGGTCTAAACGTTGAGGAATTTTGTTATTACAAACGCCATAGCCAGGGAATAAAATAAAGAGGGGAAAGGGACAGGGGTTTCCAAATATTTAGAGGGGTGAGTAATGTGCCCATCGAGTGCACATCTAATTTTGGCTTCATTTTTTCAGCAGAAAAAAACACTACCTTTTGTGACTTTTGTACATATTTTAGTCTTGGTTAGTTGAAAGTTTTAAACTGGTGTCACACTATTGTGTCAACAGGAAGTAGGAATTTAGATAAGCTGTACTTACTGCACCACTTGAAGAGATAACACTATCTAGGTGGCGTTTACAAAGATGTAGACAGTAACAGATATGCATGTAAAACCAGGAGGGCTGTAGTCAGCCGTATGTAATATAGAAGACAATATAAAGCTCAGTGGTCTGCAGTAAATACCAGTTATAGGACAAACCTGCAAGCCCAAGTGGCAAAAGCCAGGCCACTGTCACATGGGGTGCTGGGGTGCACAAGAATCAGTTTTTAACATACCGTAATAGATCTTTTTACAGGGTGCATCAAAAGAGCAGCAAACCATATTTATTTTTTTTTGCAATGCACCGGTACTTCTCTGCAAATGTATGCCACAAGTCTGTACCCAAAGCAGACACAGAAATCATGAATGTTATTAAAACAGAGTGAAAAGAGTGCAGAAACAAACTTTGACTTTAGAAGTGATTCTCAACCATCGGGTCACAGCCTCCCTTCTGCTGAGCCGCATCTTTCTTTCAGGCAGAGTAAGAGAGATACCATCCCTTCTAAGCATGCGTTCATAATCATGGTAGCCTAGGCCACAGGTATTATGTGTGGATGTGTAGGAGGGAAGGCCACTGATGGCTGTGAGGCAGAAGATGTGGAGTATGTGGGCTGTTCGGAGTATCTGAGGAAGTGGTGAGCTGGACGTAGATATAGAGGCCTACAAAGATACGAGTTGAGCTTGAGTAAGATCTGGAGAGTGAAAGGCAATGTATACATGCTGTGTATCTGCACCTGCACACTTTCTCCTTCACAGTGTTCGGGAGCCAGGAGCAAGCGGACCTGGAACAGGTAAATAATTAGGTATTTGCCTAATTTTTTTTATTTATTTTTTTATTCATGGGGCATATATCTACTGCTTGCTAGCAGTAGATATATGCCAAAAACTTAAGACTTTAATTATACTTTAAGGTTATATGGCTACCTTTTTAGGTTAACCAAAAGTAACCAATGAAGCCTTAAAGAGGAACTCTCGGATTTTCAAAAGTTAACCCTTCCACTGGGGCTACCTCCACACTGCAAGGGTTAACTGCACATTTTGGTCTAGGAGCATAAATAAAGAAAATATACTTACCTGATCCTCGATTCTGCCTGGCTGGTGCAGGTCCCCACCGCTTCTTCTCCCTTGGGCTCTGCTCTCACTAAGGTTGAGGACCAGTGTTCTGGATAAGTTGGGGCCATGCAACTAAGCAAAGCCAAATCAAATGTTCAATTTTCCCTGGCAAATTCAACCCTTGTTAATAGTTCAGCATTGTACATAAACACAATACGTAAGTTCTATTTCTCCACCCTCTGTGAATACCTGATAAGGCTGGCACACTATTATACAATATACAGCAAACATACAGACTTTGTTCTGGTCCCTGGAGTGAGGGAATGATGTTTGATTTCACAGATAGCAGGTGTGTATATATGCCTAAGGTAGAGATGTATGTAGAAATAGTTACTTATATAAATAACATATATACTTACTCAAGCTTTCGGAATTTTTCAGTTCCCGCAGCCACATACTGCCCCCGATTCATGAGGTCGCTGAGCTGTGTCACGCGGTGCCCATTGCGTGGGGTGTAGATGCTTCGCACAGCAGTCGGGGCCTGGATACTCGAAGTTACCTCATTTAAGAAGGCCTCAAAAGTCACAAATTGCCTTACATTGACCACCATCCTGCGGCCGTTGTGGAAAGGATCCCCATTTCTGTACACCAAGACATTTTTTCCATGTGGGACCAGCTGTACCCCCGAAGGGGAGCTCATCCTTGGGTAGTGGTGGCGTGATAGTAAAATTGAAAACACAACAAAAAGCAAATGATCACCTTAAAAATGTGCTGAGGATAGATCAGTAGACATATGTGACAGTTCTATTCCTGTACACAAAACACACTTCTCTGTGTCCTACATGTCTATCACTCAGTTGCTGTGACTCTTTGTTGTTGCCTGGTGACAACTAGTTACCAGTGTGTGTGTGTAGGAGAAAGGAGGAGAGTGCCGAGTTACAGGAGACACACCTCCTAAACAAGAAGTGCAGATCACTTTACTTATACTTCACATGTGATGTACCTTCAAACAGCTGACACTTCAGACCTTATCTGATCACACATAGGAAAGTGCACCATACACATCAAACCTCTCAACAACTAGGGATGTTGAGAGATCTTCCCATGTTAGTTTTCATTATCACTGCGGGGTTTGCTACATTACACATGGAGAGGAATTTATCAAAACTGGAGCAATTGTCCATGACAACCAATCAGCTTCCATCTTTCATTTTTAAAGCTTAACTGTACAAACTGAAGAAAGAAGCTGATTGGTTACTATGAGCAACTGCTTCAGATTCTGTGTGCTCCATATTAGTTTTCATTACCACTGTGGAGTTTGCTGCATTACACATGGAGAGGAATTGATCAAAACTGGAGCAGGCAAAATTTAAAGCAGTTGCCTATGACAACCAATCAGCTTTTATCTTTCATATTCAAAGCTTAAATGAACAAACCAGAGAGAGAGAGCTGATTGGTTACTATGGGCAACTGCTCCAGATTCTGCCTGCTCCAGTTGTGATAAATTCCCTTCATGGTCTTTATCTGCTGTCACTGTTTTCTGCCATCACTCTTCTACCTGACTCAGCTAACTTTCTCTTGCAGCATGTGCACTTGTGAAAGGTTGACTGTCTTTTAGCACAGTGCTTCTCAACCCAAAATGGGTTGGCATGCGCCTTATGCTGCGCTAGGTGAGAGGCTCCTCAGCCTCCTCCTAGCGCAGCAGTGTCAGTTCTCTGGCCGCGCCGCTAGACGGAGGGGGGTGGAAGGATCCACCTGTCCAGTGGCGGACCTAATAACCAAAGGGCCCTGGTGCAAGAGAAGCGGATCACGCTGGCCCCCGACCCCCCCAGCGGTCTCTAATGTTGCAGTAGCGTGCTGGACTTACCTGAGACCCTGCAGAACACACCATAGATCCTGCATAGCCCACCTGAGACTCTCTATTGTGGGCTCTGCAGGGTCCCAGGTGGGCTGGCCTGGTCGTCTGGGTCCCTTTCCCTGTACATCCTCCCAACTCTTCTTACCTGCTGCTGCTGGGGTCCGGCCTCCTCCACCCCCTCCTGTCACCTCTGCCATGCCGCCCCGGTACCATTGATACCCATGTAAGAGGCCCCCCAGACCCCTCACATGGGTACCAGCCATACCCCCCTGACGGCGGTGTTCTTTCAAAATTTGTGACTACATTAGTATGTGTGACCGGTGACGTGGTCACGCGTTTTAACGCAATCCCGCCCAGTTTTTTTGTGGTGGAATGTGTCACCGCCAATAGGTGAAGCATTCCAGCGCTTTCCCAGCTGTTCCAGGGCAGATCGGCATTGCAGATGGTATGTGCAGGAGAACCGATCTGCCCTGAAACAGCTGATCGGTCCTGAAATGTCACTTCCATCCGACTGCAATCTCACATTCCACCGCACTCACAAAGTCGGATAGAAGTGACATTTCAGGACAGAACAGTTGTTCCAGGGCTGATCGGTTCTCCTGCACATATGATTTGCAATACCGATCTGCCCTGGAACAGCTGAGAAAGCGTTGGAATTCTTCATCTATTCCACCACCAAAGAACTGGGCGAGATTACGTTAAAATGTGTGACCACGTCACCGGTCACACATTCTAACGTAGTCACATTGTAACGTGGTCTCAAACATTGATAGAACAGAGGCTCTATTTGTAATAATTTAAAATCAGAGAAATATATTATAATAGCGAACATTACAGTGTAATATTCCCCATTATAATCCACTTTCCTAATTACATTATTAGACTTGGACTCACCCAGCCAGATCCTCACTGCAGCTCGGTCTCAGACAGACAGTGTGTGCATGGGGCGGGTCCTGTGACTCACTTCTCCTCTCCCGCCGCCTGTGTCTATGGACACGGCCGGGAGAGGAGGTGAGTCACAGGACCTGTCCCCTCACTGTGAAGCCCGTTGGCAGTGCGTGGCCCCCGATGTTCTAACGTCGGGACCCTGCACTGCCCCATATTGCAGGACCGGACCCCACTGAGGCTGTGGGGGTGCCCAGGACCCGACCCCACTGGGCCCCCCCCCACAGCCTCAGGCCCCGGTCCGGCTGCACCGGCGGTAGTTCCGCCACTGCACCTGTTTGTCTATAGTCCGTGATTACCCTAGACAAACTGGGTTCATAATTTATACCTTCAAGAAACCAAAAATACCCAGATTAGAAGGTTGATTTAAGTTTTATGAAATTTCTAGCCATCTAGTGGTACTTTGTAATTCTTTCTTCCAAATCAGCTGATATGCTAAAACTGTCAAGTCCCTGATTACACTAAACCAATCTAGCAAGAGCCAATTATATATGGGTTTTATGTATGGGTTTCACTTGACTACCAGGAGTTTAGAAAGGATAATAATAATGACCCCACCATGCTAAAATTATACCTCACAGCCACCCATCCAAACTTTCTTCTTCTTAACCTTTCTTCAGTTACAACACCCTTTAAAAGTATGTAAAATCTTGAGGCACCCCAGTCTAAAATGTCACGGATATTAAGGTGGACCCCACACAAAAATGTGTTTCTCCCTTTACATAGAAGTGCCCCCTTCACAGCAGAGTCACCATTTGCTTCAGTAGCCCCCCTTGCATATCAGAGTTCCCCCTTCACATCACAGTCCCACAAAATTTTGAGGCACCCCTGAGGAGGCCAGAAGGCACACATGGTTGAGAAAGGCTGATCTAAACCACACAAGGGGACATAAGAGGAGAAAAAAAAAAATGAGCCGTCACCAACCTCCTCAGATTCTATTGCCAACGAGAAGAATACTACAGACACCTCAATGGAACTGCTGATATTTTAAATCTACTGCTAGCCAACTCCATTTTAACCCTCCTTTGTTGTCCCATAACCAATAAGACGGGATATTCCCCTGGCCACAATGCTCACATGCTCCTCCCAATGCAAGATGAATGTAATGTACAATACGGCCTCAATAAAAAAAAAAAATACTTTTAGAAAATAATTTCTCTTTATTTTTTACTATTTTTAGCACTGGTTAAAACAAACATTTTATTGTAGTGTAAAAATAAAGTTGATCTCTTGCAGGTAAAAAACATGAGCTAATATACAATATAATTACTATGTCAGATGCATAGCCCAGAAGAAAGTCACTGTATTGCACAACTTATGTGACAGGGAACAAATAAAAGAACTCTGATGGAGATGCAGCGCAATGTCTTGCTTTCAAAATGTGATGCATATCCTGATCAGCTCTGGATTCCCAGCCTCTGCCTTACCATTAGATACTG